TCTGAAAGATATGTTGGTCCTAAACTCAGGACAGGTCAGCCCTCTCAGCCTGTTTGATAACTTTTCCGCAAATAGTGGTAGCGTTAGGATCGAAAAAATAAATGCCGTTATGCTCCTAATTTAGAAAATTTCAACGATGAAGCGCTTATCGATTGGTTGAGAAGAGAAAAGTATGATGTGGGAATTGCAGAGGCTTTTGGTATTTGCGGCTTAGGTAGGTAGCACTATCAGCGTCATTTATCACTCCGAATTGTCCATTATTGTTTTATTTAGGTATCTTTGAATTACTCGACATTCCTACATCAATTGTAACTTTTTCCGGGGTGCATCTGGAAATGTTATCGAAAGCAATTGGGGAACCTACTGTTCCCAGCTATGTACCTAGTCAGCCTCATTTTCATGTCTCATTTGGCAGCTAAACGCCTAATTACTAACTTCACAGGTGTAACATCTACTGCAGGAGATTGTATGAATATGTTGGAGAGATTTTTCAACTCCATGGAGGTAGTTTTATGGCACAAATTCTTCGGTAAAATTCTTGATGCCGAAACTGACGCATTTCGAAAGAAATTTGGCTCTCATTTCAAAGGACGTGATGTAAGTATCAGCACCACATTTGTCTATAGTCGGTCAGTCCAAAGTTAACTGTTTTCTAACAGCCAAGAAATTGTATTCTCGACTAGCTCTTATCTCTTTCCTGCACCATTAATGTATGGATCACCTTTCTAGCAATTGATCGCCCAAGCATCTTATTTGTTCACGAACTCAAATCCTTACCTGGATTACCCTCGTCCACTGCTCCATAAGACGATTCCAATTGGTGGAATTACAGTGTCAATTGACCCAGATAAGAATAAACTTTCCAACGTAGGAGTCATCCATTATCGTGGATTTGAAGTAAAAACTTCGTCTATAGGAATGGGATGCAATTTTGCGAGAACGCAACACTACAGTATTGGTGTCATTTGGTTCAATCGCCAAATCTATCCACATGCCAAACGAGTACAAGTAGGCGTACATCTTGAAATTTTCTTCCAAATTTACAAATTCAATCGATTGAGTTCTTAAACTCTAAACTTCCTTTTGCAAATGGACAATTCTCAAATTACCCGGTATAAACCGAACTTTGTCTTCTTCACCGTACCATTGAAAAATTACAGTAGATAGCAACTTAGTTGGACTTTGTTAGTAACTGCGCACTATACATTGAAATCTTTTAAAAAATTCAATAATTCGAAAATTGAAAATTGCGAATATTCGAATATTCGAGGTTTCAAGTTAAATGAAAGCCAATATCCATATATATATAAAGCACAATGTCTGTGTGTGTGCGTGTGTGTGTGTGTGTGTCTGTGGGTTTGTATGTTCCGAATACAAATCTTTGTTTCTGAAGCGACCCAAACCAAACTTCACACACATACACTTTGGAGCATTGCGGAGAACAAGGCCACTTTATCCGGAGAAATATCGATTGATTATCGATTTACTGATTTTTTCACAGTTCTCGCCCTAGATAGCTGGGAGTTGGTATACTGGGGTAAGTTGATATGCTGATTACAAATATGGTAGCCACTTGAAGATTTATCGATTGAGTCCATTGATTTATTGATTTTTCGCGCATTTTTTTGTTTTTGGGGGGCTGGGAGTTGGTGTACTGGGGTAACTTGGTATGCTGATTACGAATCTGATAACTTCTCGAAGGTCTATATCAATTTGGCGGTTTTTTGCTTTGAACTACTGAAAAGTGGTGAACGTGCTTTGTTAACAGGCTGATTACGAGTATAATTTCATTCGAGACAGTATCTACTAATTTCGTGATTTTCGTGTTGCTACCAATTGATGCAAAGATGTGCTAACATGCTGAACAGTACGTAATTTTTTTCAGCCTAGGTTTGCTAAGAGAGAATTTTATGCGGAAATTTTAAAATCTACTGTGCTCCTTCCAGGAAAAAAATTATCTTATAATAAAGTACCATTGACTACTCTAGAACAGCCGAGCGTAGCCAGTATGCAAGCTAACTTATATATACATATATATATAAAGCACAATGTCTGTGTTTGTGTGTGTGTCTGTGGATTTGTATGTTCCGAATACAAATTTTTGTTTCTCAACCGATCCGGACCAAAGTTCACACACATATATACTTTGGAGCATTGCGGAAAACGTAGACCACTTTATCCGGAAAAATATCGAATGATATTATCGATTTACTGATTTTTTTGCAGTTCTCGCTCTAGATAGCTGAGAGCTGGACCACTGGGGTAAGTATATATGCTAATTACAAAAATGATAACCATTTAGAGATTTATCGATTGGTCTATCGATTTACTGATTTTTTTCACAATTTTCGCTCTAGAGCTGAGAGTTGGTACACGAGAATAATTTGACATACTAGTTTCAAAAATGATGACCACTTAGGGATTTATCGATTGGGTCTATTAATTACGATTCTGACATCCTCTTGGAAATTTATCGGGTTCTATTGATTTATTGACTTTTCGCACTTTTTGTTTTTAGAGTTGACGTACTGGGGTAAGTCGATATGCTGATTACGATTCTGATAACAATTTGGAGGTCCATCAAATTATTTAATCAATTTGGCGGTTTTTCGCTTTGAACTACCAATTGCTACCAATAAGCAAAAATGTGCTACATGCTGAACAGTACGATGTTATTTTTTTACGGCCTAGGTTTGCTATGAGA